ATATGGCAGGCACTGGACTGTTCATTACTTGCAGTTGGTGGCCATAATTCTGGAAGGAAATTGATGCCTTTCCTGCTGAGTACCTTCAGTCATTGTTTTGGGTCCTATTATGTGCCTGGCCCTGTGCCCTGTTGCCTTATGAATACATTGAAGGGAAATCAGATCCTGAGGGGCTCAGTTAACCCTCTGAGGATGCCAGTGGGTCTAGAGAGATCTCTGCCCCCAACCCAGAGAGGAGACTACAGGGGACAGCAGGTCAGCGAGGGAAGACCCGGCTGCCCCCTGGCCCGGAGGCTGGCCCTTCCACAAAAGACAAGACCGGTTCTTTTCTCCAGGCCGAAGATCAAGCTCACGACTGTCCAAGAGGGAGGTCTCCAGTCTGCTAAGTTATACTCAGGTATGTGTCCTCATGTCCCTCGTGCAGGATTCGGGAATTCCCTTGAGTGGCATCCAGTAAATACTTGTTGAGTGATGGATTTGAAAACTGCTAAGCACACAGAGGGCTTTGAACAACCTCATGCATGAAGGCATTTTCTGCTACGTGCCAAGTCTTTTTTTTTTTTAAAATCATAAACATTAATTTTACTCCATTTTAAAGTTTTTTACTAAATGCTTCCCAGCATATTTCTGAAATTCTCATTTTCCCAGTTCGGAGGATCCAATTACATTGATAAAGTTTTAATGTAGTAAAATCGCTCCTTTTATTCCTGGAATGAGCCCAACTTGTTTGTGGTGTGTTTTCAATCTGATTTCCTTTCACATCTATTGATGAATAAAGTGGATGTGTGATTTTTTTTTTTTTTAATTTCTTGGAATATATTTGTGTCTGGTTTTGATCTCAGGGTTATGTGGCCTCAAGGATTTTTTTCCCCTCACGTTGGAAAGAACTTGCCTTAGGGGACTTCTAACAATCATTGCAATGTCTTTTAACGGCTGCTGCAAAGTCAAGGTTTCTACTTGATCAATTTTTTTTCCACCTTAGTCTTCCCATAATTTTTTTTTATTCCCGACATTTATGCTTTTCTTGTTCTTATTAGTCATAGTAGAGTTGGGTTTTTTTTTTTCCCCAATTTGGTTACTTTTTTGAAAGAGCTGGTGTCCAGCGTTGGGGACAAAGTTACAGACAAGTGTAAATTCACATTCGCACGGCTTCTGTTCTGCTGGAGGGCAACCAGTGGACGCCCAGAGGATGAGCATAAGAACTGTGTGAATATTTGGGACTGGGTGCTCAGGACACCTGTTTTAGCTCTGGTGGACCATCAGCAGGAGTGGCAATGGAACCTCCGGCCTGAGCATTTCCCCTGAGTCTGGCCTTGAGTGAGGCCTGCGTTGCTTGATTCTCTCTTTTTTTTTTTTCAACGTTTTTTATTTATTTTTGAGACAGAGAGAGACAGAGCATGAACGGGGGAGGGTCAGAGAGAGGGAGACACAGAATCTGAAACAGGCTCCAGGCTCTGAGCTGTCAGCACAGAGCCCGATGCAGGGCTCGAACTCATGGACCACGAGATCATGACCTGAGCCGAAGTCGGCCACTTAACCGACTGAGCCACCCAGGCACCCCAGTACTGTTACAGTTTTAAAGAGTGAAATGGACTCACTCAAGGCCTCAAAATTGGCAAGTGAAGTGAAAAAATCAAGTTCTTACTATTACATCCAAAACTCAGGCTGCTTACCAGTGCACAAGTTTTTGGGTTTTGCTGTGCAGCATGGGACATGTTCATTGGTGCCATTTCTTCCTGGTCCTTGTATCAAGAAGCATCTCCTTTGAGCCTTTGATTTCTCCCACTTAATTGTGCAAATTGACCAGCTCTCCCTGTTAGTCCTAGCCAAATCAGTCTCCCCAAGGTGCAGATCCAGATTGCATTCATACTGTGTCTTAGATTTTCTAATTCCACTGTTTTGTGTGTGTGTGTGTGTGTTTTTTTAGTGTGTATTTATTTTTGAGAAGAGGGGGGAGGGGCAGAGAGAGAGGGAGATGGAGAATCTGAAGCAGGCTCCAAGCTCTGAGCTGTCAGCACAGAGCCCGACGTGGGGCTTGAACTCATGGACCGTGAGATCATGACCTGAGCTGAAGTCAGACACTCAACCGACCGAGCCACCCAGGCGCCCCAGGGGTTTTCTTTTTTGATCATGTCTTGAATTTGTGATCCCCAGGGTAAGCCACTGTAATGTCTTATTGGAACAAAATATTTTGAAAATATTTCCAGGTAACTTGGGCCAGTATTGTTTTCAGTATGATTGACTTTTCATTCTTAAACCGTTTGGGGTTATGTCACCTTTTGATAACATTTAAAGTTCATAATGCTTTCATTCATAAAGGATCTGACAGGTGATGGAGATGGCGAAGGGGAAGACGGGGATGGCTCTGACACCCCAGTGATGCCAAAACTCTTCCGTGAAACCAGGACTCGGTCTGAAAGCCCAGCTGTAAGTCCCCCACTTCCGAGCCCAGGCACTTCCAACCAGACATAGGCCTGCATAAACACACACACACACACACACACACACACACACACACACACACACAAAACCAAAAAGTGGTCTTGCATCCTCCAGAGAGAACTTTGGAGAGAGAGGTGAATACATGTTTTGAAAGTGGAGAATGACAGACAGCAGGGCTCACGGATAGTCAGTGAAGGTCTTCTCTCCCGTGGTAGTGTTTCAGGTGTTTCAGCTCTTTTCGGACACTCCTGGCTGCAAGTGCCCGAGACTGCTAGTTTGTAGGTGAATGGCTCAAATGCCTATTCCCTCTGGGACTCATTTCCGTAAGTGGAGTCTGTGACTTAGTGTGTGGTGTGGAAATGGGTAGGCGATCGTTGCTAGTGGCCTCCCACCCCATTAGAGAACAGGCTGACGCTTGAGGACCGTGGCGGGTCTAGTTTACAATCTCCCCCAGAGTATGATGGAGGTCATCCCCATTACAGAGGACAGAAGGATCTGGTAACTAACCCAAGGTTAAACATTGATTCTTGCGTGCAGGATTCGAATACAGGAATTGTGCACCACCCAAGTTCATGCCACTTTGAGAAAGGAGCCTAAGGGCTTCTCATCCAGCTGCTTGATCCACTACCTTCCAGAAGAAGACACAGTCACTCTAATGCTTTGGGGGGACAAAATGTTTGGTTTGGGGTAAACTGGATGTTATTTTCCATTCAATCTGCAGGTGCCAGTTGCCTCTGACGGGCAGTGCGGGATCTGCTGTGGACCATCGGCAGCCCTGCTGGCACCCTACCCCTTCCCCCAGTAACAGGGGAGTTTCTGGGGGAGATCCTTTCAGCCCAGAGTCCTTCCCTGCTTACCCACCTCTTCACTTCTGGGGACCTCAGGCGACCCCTCAAGTCCGAAACTCCATGCCTGTAGTCACCAAAGGCCTCCTGCTTATCCTCTCTTGCTTCCAGGTCCGAACCCGAAATAACAACAATGCCTCCAGCCGTGAGAGGCACAGGCCCTCCCCACGCTCCACCCGAGGCCGGCAGGGCCGCAGTCACGTGGATGAGTCCCCCGTGGAGTTCTCAGCTACCAGGGTTGGTTCCCCGGACACCCCCAGTCTCTTAAGTGGAAGATCCGCCTCTGTCACTGTGCCACTGAAAGCAGCCGGCGTTTAACCTATATCTATTCCTCACACTCAGCACCTTTTCAGGGTCTTGCCTTTCCTTTGGCTCCCGGGTGCTGGGTAAGCTTCTCTCCTGGCCTGATCCTGGATGGAACCCTGGTGGAATGTGAGAATTCCCTGTTGACTGGGTTCTTGCTCCTCCTTGGGAATGAGCTCAACTCCACTGACTCCAGAACTGTTTTGTCTCGCTATTTCTTCACTGACTGTCTTGAGGCAACCCCAGTGGTCACAACAATTCTCCACTCCTGTTGCAAGGCTGGGCACACAATAAGCATTTAAGGAAACCAGTGGCCCTCTCTGAGCTTGGCTCTGGAGTCTCTAGACATCACTCATGCTTACTCTGCCTTTGTCCTATCTGTCATGATTCTGTCCCTGTTCTGATGGAGGTTGCTTTTTCCCACCACTCAAGGGGTGCTCACTCGTTCCTGGAAAACCATCCTTGGTGGTGTCTGTTCTCAACTTACACCTTCACGCTTCAGGCTTGCCCGGGATCCAACTGGGGGGACCACCGGTCTCCGGTCACCTGCCTGGTTTGCTGTGGCCCAAGATCTGTGTCCTTCTGTCCACAGTCCCTGAGGCGGCGGACAGTATCCTTGGCAGGCACACCGTGGCCGTCCCCCGCCAGCCCCTACCTCACCATTGACCTCACAGATGATGATGTGATGCCCCAGAGCAGCAGTACCCCCTACGCCCGCCTGGCCCAGGACAGCCAGCAGGAGAGCTCGGAGTCCCCGCAGGTGGACGCGGAGGGGACAGATGCCGACAACACCGAGTATCAGGTACCACTGGGAAGGCCCTACGTAGTAGGGAAGGGCAGCCACTCACCCAGAGGAGCCTACTCCCACGTCTTTTTTTGGTCACATCTATTCTAATACTTGAATTTCTTTTCCATATGCACCAGTCCTTCCTTCACCCTACTTATCTGCCATATATAATTCAAACACCTAATTGATTTCCCGAACATCACATTTGTACCCCCAAATAAGTGTACCCTGTTTGTACATGCTTCTGTTCGTCCTGTTTTACGTACAATTGGAGACCAGCCATTTTCACTTGTTAGGAACTGGAGTTGTCTCACTTTCTTGTCTATAACCCATCTAGTGTAGAGTTCGTAATTAACCAGTTGGGCTCATTTATTTCACTCCAGCATTGCTGCATATATACATACGTGTCTGCATATATCATGTAGATAACCTTTTTTTCTTATGTATATCAGACTATAGGTATATTTTCATAACTTGTTTTCATGGGCATCTCACATTTTATGGTAAGCTTTTTATGTGCAAACGTCCATATATATTTTTTTTTTTTGCATTTCATTGCCTTTGTGATAACCTGTGTAATGGCCTGTGGTGGGAATACCCAGTGATTGTCATTATTTACTCTAATGTTATGTTCTGTGAGTTTTCAGTCGGCAACTTTCATTCCTAGATACTAGGTTAAATGTATTTGTGAAATGTTGTAAATCTAATATAATCCCATGTTCCTATCAAATAACCAAACTGGTCCCTTATTTTCAAGGGGTTCAAACTCATAGTTTTAATTTTTTTAAAGTAATCCTTGCACCCAGTGTGGGGTTCAAACTCACAGCCTCAAGATCAAGCGCCTCTCAGCTGGGCACTTGTTTTTTAATATTTATTTTTGAGAGAGACCCCATAAAAGCATGGGGGAAGAGGCAGGGAGAGGGGGACAGAGGATCTAAAGTGGGCTCCACGCTGACAGCAGAGAGCCTGCGGGGCTCCAAATCACCAGGAGATGGAGATCATGACCTGAGCCGAGGTTGTACCTAGGCTCCCAGGGGCCCCCATGCTGGGCACTTTGGAGGGAGCCCCAAGTTGGTCCCTCAGGCAGTGGCCATTGGGGTCAGTGGGGTGGGCAGGACTTTTCCTTGGCCCAGGCAATCTGTCTCATTGGGATTCTTTTTTGTGGTTCTTCCTTCTAGGATGGGAAGGAGTTTGGAATAGGGGACCTTGTGTGGGGAAAGATCAAGGGCTTCTCCTGGTGGCCTGCTATGGTGGTGTCATGGAAGGCCACCTCTAAGCGACAGGCCATGTCCGGCATGCGGTGGGTCCAGTGGTTTGGTGACGGCAAATTCTCCGAGGTGAGTCCAGTGCAAGGCAGGCTCCCGGGCCACAAACCTGCAGCGTTTTCCTCCCTTCCTTGTACACTTGATGTTTTACGATACAAGGCCCGTGATTGCTTTCTCCAGATGGATGAGGCTATTTGACTCAGTATGTCTAGGAAGGATAAAAATTTCTTGTTAAATAGCATAAACACATATTTAGGGTCTCATGGGGCTTAGAGCTCTGTGTGCTCTTCTAGGAGACAAAAAGCTGGAACGTTCTCTGAATCCACTTGTGGCCACTTGTGCTCTCTTTTTTACTTTTTATGGATTCCTGTGGAATTGGGAATGGCCACTTGGGTAAGCACCCTCAAAGATCTTTGGAAAAGCTTAGAAGAGACAGGAAGGGTGGTCTCTGCCTCTGAGCATCATTTAGCCCTGGAGGCATGTGGGGAGGAGCATGTCTGGCTGGGCCTAGGGTCACCTGGTGACAGTTCTGAAAAAGTTCAACTCAGAGTACCGACTTCAGAGTTTGTTGATTATGTTCTTTTTGTTGCTGATGATATATATATCCTCTAATGTTTTATATATATAGATTATATATATCTATCTAATTTTGATATGATTAACATGATTATGTTCTTTTTGTTGCTGATATATATATCTAATGTTTATTTTATTTTTGAGAGATAGATAGAGTGGGAACAGGGGAGGGGCAGAGAGAGAGGGAGACGCAGATTCTGAAGCAGGCTCCAGGTTCTGAGCTGTCAGCACAGAACTTGACACGGGCTCGAACCCACGAACCGCGAGATCACGACCTGAGTGGAACTCGGATGCTTAACCAACAGAGCCACACAGACGCCTCTGTTGTTGCTGACATTAACCACTTTATGTTCTTTCTTGATGAGAGTCTGTGGGACAATAGCTGTGTTGGGCATGAATCAGGCACTTTTGATTTCTTACCTGTCCAAAGCACCCTATGAGATCTCAGGTTTTGATGAGAATAGTGTAGGCAATACTTTGCCTGGGATGGTCTCTTTTCAAAATGTTAGTCCAACCTTCAGCACGTCCAGAGGTTAGATGAGGAACAACAACAAGCTGGGCTGGGATGGAGGCAGATGTGGTAATGGAGGGCCATTCAGTACATCTGTGTGATTCAGCATCAAGTTGAGGTTCTGTTTTTTCCCACGATTTGGGCTTCCTCGGGATCATTTGCCATAAACACGTTGAAATTCCCAATAGGCAGGACGAGGAGGATTTGGAGTCCCCCTCGTAGGCAGAATACACGTAGGTACTCTGTTTGACCAGCAGAGGGAGCAGGTCAACAAATGTCCCGGGCTTGTGCTCTCCCTGAAGCCTCTAACTGAAGGATGTGGGCTATGAGTTCTGTGAAATGAAGCAGCAAGGATTGTTTGTAACTGCTTTGGCCCAGTGAGACACAAATTGAGCTCTGCAAGGCTGGTCTGATGTTAGTAAGATTATGTGGGGGGGCTACTAGCATTATAGGATAGGGTTGCAGTGCACGTCTTGGTGTTTGGGGTACGCATTGCATGCAATAGAGCAGTTCAGGACTGGGAACAGCACTGGTGTTTTCAATGTACAATCACACCGACCCCTAGTTTCTTTTAAATGCTTTTTTTTGAAAGCTTATTTTGAGACAGAGAGAGAACTCAAGTGGGGAGGGGCAGAAAGAGAGTTGGCGAGAGAATCATAAGCAGGTTCTGCAGTGTAAGCACAGAGCCTGACGCGGAACTCAACTCAAAAACTGACATCGTGACCTGAGCCCAAATCAAGAATAGGACGCTTAGGCGACTGATCCACTCAGCAGCCTCGTCCCCGCCCCCCGGCCAGTTTTTTATACGTGGTGGCAATTCCCTGTCATGGAAGGTCAGGATTAGAGGTATAAGCGCAAAACGGAAGTTGGCACGACAGAGAGCATGAGCTGTGGGGAACCAGACATCACCTGTCTTTCAGTGCTAATCAGCATCCCGGGACAGGAGTTTCATCCCCTCCCTTTGGCGGCCTCATTAGTTCATGCAGGCCCTGGAGACTTGGGGAATATATGGGTATTTAGCCCCAATGGAAGGCACATATCAACAAATCAACATAACTAGAAAGTGCTTACTTTTGCCACACTATTCTCTAAACATGTACATTAAATTCCCTTAATAAAAGGCTAAATAGTTAATCTCAGCTGTCATTTGTCATGCTCACGAAGGAGGGAAGGACATGTACAAAAGCACCAATATTGGAACGTCCACTGTGCGTGTCAACACTGAGATGGGGCCCACACCAGGGACCTGTGGGTCTTTTGGTCTCAGCACATAACACAAATACAGGGCGCACCCTCCATTTGGAGAATCCTACTTTCTCCCATTTGGAGTGTCATGTTCACTGTGCTTCTGGCTATAGGGTGTGTCAGAGGCTGTGTACCAGTTCTGTTTTCTACTTTCTCTAACCTCCTTTTCAGTCTGTGAACATGATCCCCAGGAATAAGCCTGGGAGAGATACAGGCTGCAGACGGGTGTTGATGATGGCTTTCTCTTTCAGGTGTCTGCAGATAAGCTAGTGGCCCTGGGGCTGTTCAGCCAGCACTTTAACCTGGCGACCTTCAATAAGCTGGTGTCTTACAGGAAGGCCATGTACCATGCTCTGGAGGTAACATGGTAGTGGGTGGTGGGGGTCTGGACCCAAGAGCAGAGTTAAAGCAAGTGACGTACAGAAAGCCAGCTCAGGCCACAGCATAGCCAGTGCTAGCATGGAGGGGAGACATGAAGTGCGTGCAAATATGACAGTAGCCTGATGATTGAGAAGAAAAGGAAGGGATTTGAGACTTCCATGCCTTCCCGGCTCTATGCCCCCTTCTCCGTGTACTGCTAGAGGGGGGAAGAGCACTGGGAGGTGGGAGACCATATTCCTATCTGTCGAGCTTTTCCAGAGCCTCAAAAGCTGCTGGAGAGCAGCTGAGGCCTCTTCCCCTTGTCTGTGGGGGATCCATCAGGCTGTCATTCCCTTTACCTTGACGTGGAAAGAAAATGGCCAGTGGCCTCAGTCCAGCATTTGTGAGCCAGGCTTTGTGCTTATATGACCTGTAAAACATCATAGTGCTTCTGTAATAGGACTTAACACTTGATGTCTCCCCAGCTTCATTGGGGAAAAAAAACACAAGAAATCTGGAGCTTTCTTAGAGGCAATGAGACTGTGCTGTGGCTGATGCCTCTCCTATATCTAAAAGTGACAGAGCTAATTCTGATCCTCTGGCCTCTGAGAGGGAGCTGACCACTCAAAGCCCAATGGGGAAGAGATGCTCTTTGGTGCCTGCATGGAGAGACTTCATTCTCTGCATGGCCTCCTGCCTGTCTCCGTACACAGGCACCCACCCCCCCCCAACCCCAGTCACATACCATAGCCCAGGACAGCTGCTAGGCTATGAAAGGGGCCAGTGTGAAGAGGAATGCAGGCCCCTGCTGGGTGAATCCCTGGGTGTGGCCTGGCAAGCATCCACCCCTCCTGTTCATCCCGCCTCTTTATCTCCACAGAAAGCCAGGGTGCGGGCTGGCAAAACCTTCCCCAGCAATCCTGGTGACTCCTTGGAGGACCAGCTGAAGCCCATGTTGGAGTGGGCCCACGGGGGTTTTAAGCCCACCGGGATCGAGGGCCTCAAACCCAACAACAAGCAACCAGGTGGGATTGGGTCCCTGGGCAGCACCCACCATCAGCTGCTGGTGGGGACAGTCTTGGGAAATGCAGTCACCCCTTGCTGCCACCTACCCTACCCCGGCTTCCCAGCAAGCTGGCAGCCCTGGAGCGCTTTCACCCTGTGAACCAACCGCCAGGGAAGCCGGAAAAGTGAATAGGCCAGCCTTTTCCAGCTTCCCCGGTTACCCTTCTTGCTAAAGGTCAAGTATGCGTAATTGGGATTGAGTCTGTTGCAGAAACTTGGGTAAATAGAAGGCCAAGACGGAATTGTCACTGATGCCCTTTTATAAATTTCTCTTACAAGTTTTTGCATATTTATTTTGAGACAGAGAGAGCACACTTGCGAGAGTGAGAGGGGCAGAGAGAGAGGGAGAGAGAATCCCGAGCAGGCTCTGCTCTGTCGGCAGCACAGAGCCCCATTTGGGGCTTCATGTCACAAACTGAGATCATGACCTGAGCTGATACCAAAATGGGTGTTTAACTATTTGAGCCACCTAGCTGCCCCATTAGTGCCCTTTTGTTTAAAAAGGAAAACAATAATTAAGCTATGCTTACTGGAGAAAACTTGGGAAGACTTAACCCTTCCCCAAACCCCACAGGCCACCTCCATTCAGAAAGCAGCATCATCCATGCTAAAGGTTTGACCGGCACCGTATTTCCTCTCTAGGTGTGGTTTCACATTGTCACTCCCAGGAATCCCAGATGTCTGAAATCCAGGATTTTATTTGTCTTAACAATCCATACGTTTAACATAGTATTTTCTGTTTTGTTTTGTTTCCCTCTCCCCACAAATAAGTGGTTAATAAGTCGAAGGTGCGTCGTGCAGGCAGTGGGAAGTTAGAATCGAGGAAACACGGTACTCCCTTCCCGTATTTTGACTATGCACTGTTTTCTCTGCACTTTCTTTCAATTTCTTGCATATACAGTGGTCACTGGGAACAAATCCAATCTGTTAAAAAGTCAACCTGAGCTCACACCTACCCCTTCACTCCTATCCCTCACAACTGCCCTCCAGGTTAACGTTGTTGGGTGTGCACACCCTCCCAGACTTTTCTATACACTAGTTGGATTCCTGCTTTCCCTTAATTTCTCAACTCTAATGGTATGTGCACCGTCAAATGTAATTTTGTCACTAAAGGGTTCTTACGATTTCTGATGACTATAATTTTCCTTTACCATGCTCCTTATAGATATTTACAGGTTGAATAAAAATATAAAAGGAATGTATAGAAACAGAAACAATGGCCATAGAATATAATTTAAATTTGTTCTGGTAGCAACGTTGGAGAGAATACAAGAAACAGGTGAAATTAATATAAATCATGTACTTAATCTAATATTTCCAACATTTTGGCATTTCTAAGTCAATATAAAATATGAGTTTGGACTTTTCTAAATCTGTATTTTTACATGTCTTATGATATTTCAATTTGTGTGCTGAATTTTTCATTAGAAATAAGTGATATATTTTTTAGAGATGTCCGAGTTCCAAATGAGCTG